TAATTTTTTTTAAAAAAACGTAATATTTTAAAAATTGGACACTAGAGGGAACTAAAGATTACAATAAGAGAAGAACACACAAACTCAACTTACAATTTACAGAATGAAGCAAAATATTCTAAATTGGATATATTGAAGCATATTTCTGAAAAATGGACTCAGAAATTAATTTTGATAGTGTCAACAGAGACATCTGCCTATATGGAGACACTGTGTCTAAAAGATATTATGGAAGAGGAACAGTTTTACCTGACAAGATCAAGACTGAGTTGAAAGTGGATTTGAAAATGACAGGCTACAAGAATGACATGGAAAAAGATGTTACACAAGATATGCAAAAGAAACCGGCTGATGTTTTAATAATCAAAAGGGACAAGCAAACAATAAACCAAGAGAGTGACATGGATAATTTTCTTATATTGGATTTACAAAAGAGGCTTGTTAAAATTTTGAAGAATCTTGTGAGAAGGGACAAAGAAAAAATGAAATCAAGTTCTATGACATTATTTGAAGGGAGTAAGGATTAAGATTGTTAGAAGTAAAAGGAAGGAATATAAAGTTGGTTTATTGATCGAGGTTAAAATAGATATGTCGTTATTTCTGATAACCCTTAATGGACTTTTGCCGATACCAGGATTGAAGTGGCAATGCTTTATGGATTTGTTTATAGACAAGAGATGGGATATGGGAAGAAGAGATCATTTGTTGTATTTTAAGAGAAGGTGATAAGTTACTAAAATCATTTATGCTTGTGATGAAGTTTGGAAGTCACTTCTTTATATATTTCTATTCTTTTTCTTTACTATATTCTTACTTTCTTTTCTATTTCTATTTCTATTTTTTTCCCTAATCTTTAATAACATTACTATTACAAAAAAAATTGCAGACCCTTTTTCTTTTATTGGACAACAAAACTGACAGACCAAAACTAAAAAAATGCAGAGTTAAAAAGGAAAATAAACCAAGTACAAAAGCAAAAGTAAACAAGAATGGAAAAGAAACTTCTCTAGGCAGGCATAGCACTGAACTTTTGTCTTGAACATCATTAAGCCATACTCTAATGCTGCTAATATTGTTAAAAATTTTCATTTTTTAAAAAACAAAAGTTTCTAGTTACTAATTCAACATTTATATTTAGGATTATTTCTTAATAAATGTCATAAAAAGTATATGTGTATGTTTTTGAAAGAACCCTATTTTGCTCTTCTTTTTTTTCCTTTCATAGAGTTATTGAAATTATTAATATGACCAAAGATGGCATCCTATCTGGCACAAGAAATTCAGCTTGCCAAGAGGCATGAAGAAATGTAAGCAGTTTCAGAAGATGTTCTGTTTTTAGGTGTTAGAAAAATACAGTGAAACCTCTTAGGCGAATGCTTAAGTTTTTGCAGTAGTATTCCCCAATCTGTAATCTTGATTTATTAAACTGAAAATAACGGTGTGGTTGTTCTAAATAATTGATATTCATACAAGATAACCCACTTTTAGAGACATAGCAAATTTTAATAAGAGAAAGATATTGCCTTCTGTTAAAAACTATGCCATATGTTGCCTCTAGGGGGAGCTGTTCCACCAGTGCTGCTTTTGGAATAAAATATAATAAGTCCTCTTCATCAACGTTGAATTTCTGATTGAATTCCAGCTACCACGGAATGATTATATATTCCTTTCCTGAATTCAGTATAATGTCCCATTTCGTTGCATTTCTCTGCATGTTGCAGATTCAGATTACTAAAACACCTTTTTAAAAGTGAACATTTAGAGTTATTGCAACATCCTAGCTATGTTTTAAATATCTAGATTTTCTTGTTCAAAAGCAGATTGTAGAATTTTGATCTGTAGTCTGCCTATTCTGGCTTCTTGCTTCCATAGTTAGCAATCTATAGGAAATATGCAGACTGAATTTGAAGAAAATAGTTTTCATCCCATGGTTGTTTCCCAGCTGATAGCATAAGGTACTCAACTATATTTTATTTATTTGTTTGTTTGTTTGTTTGTCCAATTTAGCCACCATCTCACAAAACAAGTGACCCTGGGCAGTATACAACAAAGCTAAAGCAATGAATAAATACCTAAAACAATTATCATTACTATTATTAAAAAACATTAAAAACTGTAGAAAACAAAGCTAAGACAAAAAAGTAGTAGGTGAAGGGATGTTAATGATAATGGAGCCACCTCACTGGTTCGCCAGTCCCCTGGGTCCCCAGGCCTGATGGCATAACCAGGTCTTGTATATCTGTACAAACAAGTATGATATTAGCAACTTTACTTTCACACTCTACGAACCCTAGCATGACATTTACTTTTTAACAATAGTTGCACAGCAGGAAATTTTTCACTGAACGATCACCATGAAACCAAAATCTCAGTCGATCAGTCCTTGTGAATGCACATCCTAACCAGTATATATGTGGGTTAAATTTCTTGGACTGACGCACACATTTTCATGCTATCCTAGGATGAGCCTCACTTGCCATCATGTTCTATTCCCTCACTTTGAGGAGATCTTTTTGGTGCATCACTGTATTTAATAATTTGGTCTCATCCACCGACTTGGTCACCTCACTACTCAGAGCTGATGCCAGAACATTTATGGAGAGATTAAATAGGCTGTCCCCATTTATATCCTAATGTACAGTTTGTGGCACTAGACCCTCCTTTGGCTCCTCAAATGACCTTATGTGCCCTCCTAATCTTTTATTCTGGCAGAAGAAAAAAATATTAAATATATGGCAGTAATTAGAATAGATTGACAGGACAAATATTCTATCTCCGTTTGCTTCTGTGGTTGAAAAGACAAGTTATTCATTCTTGGGAAAGAGTTTTTTAAAAGTACAGAAATTGTAGTAAGCTTAATGCCAAAATCTATGAAGAATCTATGCGTACTTCTGGATATTTCTTCTCAAAAAGGAGATAATAGAGCTAGTACAACACAGCAATATAAATTGTTGAAGGTTTAAAAATAAAATAACAATGTAATATAATTTGACTGAATTAATAAGAAATTATTATTAGATAATTAGAAAATAATCAGGGTGACAGTGTTATTTGACATAATAATCTCTGAATAGTTTTCACAAATCTGAATGTAGCTGGTATTTCTTTTACTTCAGTTGAACGGGTGTCTTTCATGGAGGGAATATAGCTCAAGAGTAGAGCATCTACTTTGCACGCGTTACATTCTAGGTGCAATCTCAGATTTCACCATTTTTTTAAGGAGATAATATAGCGGATAGTAGCAAAGATATCTCCCTAAGATTAGAGACATTCGCCACGTAGCAAAAAAGCAAAGAAGAAGGATCAAATGGAAAAACAGCCTGTGTACAAATCTATGCACATACAGGATCCAGGTTCATAACACTTCTGTGCCCAAATCAGCAAGAAACAGTGCCCCCTAATATTCACTGCACAGAGAGCTGACCCAGCAAACCAAAGAAATTGCTGAAAGTCTCGTTTTCCTTATCTTTGGAGCTAATCAGTCAAGAGTAATAAGGGACTTGATTTTCTTGTATATTTGACGTTTATTTAGTTTTCTTTACCTCTCTGAGACTATTGTGTTGTTTGCTTTGTAAAGTCAACGTGGGGAATTTCCCCTGATATAAGATTAAAAGTCTGCCCAATCCCCATTTTACAGCCTCTGTATACAACTTTCATTGGTATATAGCATATATACAGAATCCTATTTCTCTGCAAACTACAACATATTGCTTCCTCCCAGGAGAGTTTTCTTGAAATTACTTTACTAAATACTTTTTTGAAAAGACTTTTTAAAATCTATGCAGAGAATAGATGGAGCCTCATTTCTGTAGGAAAGGTTTGGAAAGATTGTTTCTTAGAAGAAGAAACACCTGATTATTTTCAGTGAATCCAGATTGTGAGGAAAACATGACTGTTCTTTAAATTGTGCAGGACAGCCAAAGAGGTAGGTATGGCTGGGATTACCAACGTGATGGTTTTTCTTCTGAATGTAGCATCGCTTACATTTGCAGAACAGTAGCAACGCAGCTAACCCGTATCATAACTAGTGCTATTAGATGGCTAACTCTGCTTTGCAAGCAGATCTCGTCTTAGGTGTTCTGTGCTGATTGTCTCACTTATGCACAGAGACTGCTTGTTGTACAACATGATGGTTACTTTCTCCATGGGAGCACAGCAAGAAAGGGACTTTATGTGCTTTCCCCCTCTTTTTTGTTCTCCCACGCTGCATTCAACATAATTAGAGAAAAGTTGGGTGAGGGTAAAAGGTGGTTGTTTTTCTGGCTGTGGTGCAGGAAAAAAAAAATGCCTGCCCACTTATAATGTTTCCCTTTTGTAGACTCTCTCAGAGATTGGTGTTGCTTCAGCAGATGGAGAGTCATCTAAGAGACAAAGAAGCTGAGAAGGCATGGCAAATACAAGAAGCTGACGCAGCTCATAAAAGAAATGTATTACTTTTAAATGTAAGTTTTCACGGCTTTTAAGTGGTAACTTTATAGTAAAATTGCTGTGCGACATTAAGCACATCTTTCTGATGAATTCTCAAATAGTGACTAGTACGTAATTGCATCCAGCCAAAAGTAGAGAAGTTTAATCCTGCATCATATACATTTCTAAGCAAAACAAAAAGACTAGGGCCATGAGAATCAGCTTTGTGAATTGGAACTCTGGTTCATCACTTGCAGTGGCTTTTACTTTCCTTAATGACCAGCTGACTGTTCCTAGAAAGATTTCTCCCATCCTTTGATGATTGTCCTCAATTTTCTTGTTATCTAGTACCTAGGAATATGCTGAACTATCATCTTAGCTGTTCTGTGTAATCGTAACTGATAGCCCTTCCCTCAGTGTGGTCATTGAGTCATAGATAAATCTCACAAAACACTCACCAAGGAGCCTATTTCACAAATGTTCTCTTAAATTGCCCAGCAAAGTGATTGAGTGAGGCAATAAAGTACTGGTTATTTCCCTCTGCTTTCAGCTATATGTTTGAATTGACCAGAACTTGACATATTGCTAAAACAGTTGTTCTTGAAACAGTGTGCTGACTGTTCTTAGAATGACTGAATTGTCATCAATTTTTTTACAAGATGTCAGCTAAGGCTTTGTTGCATTATTATTGATTATTATCAGTTAAGTTTAATATCTGCATTACTGGCACCTTAATTAAAGCAACTTTTTCTCTATTCTTTCATATCTCGCCTTAGCATTCTGCTTAGAATAGTGGTCCTTGTTGTTCCAACATGCCCTCCATTCTTACACATTTTTTCCAGTTTGATTTCAGGTCCTGCACACATTCATCTTTGCCTTCAATACTGCCTCTGACTTTGACCCCTCCTCTTCTCTCCACTCTTATAAGCTTCCTTGTGATTTTTAAATGCAGTTCCAATTTTCAACTATCCAACAACCTCTTGCATTTCTGAGACTATCCTCCTTGTGCCTATCTCCATCTGGATCCCTTATTTTTAATGTATGTTATTGTGCTAAACCAATCAACAGAAGAAAAATATATACAATAGTATTAAAAGATTCACATAACCTAAAGTAGATAAACATAGCAATTAACAAGGGGGGGGAGATCTTGTCCGTTAGTAAAAAAAAAAAAAAAAGACTAATTCAAATATATCTGTTGCTGCAAATCAGATGCAGATTTATCCTTCCAGTATTGCATAATAGTTCTATTAACCAATTCCCATACCCCCAAAATCCACAACAGTTTAATATTTGTTGCCTAATTTTTTTTGTTTTATTGATTTTATTGTAATTTCTTTGATTGTTGTGAGCTGCCCAGAGTTATTGAGAATTGGGTAGCATACAAGTTGATGATGACGAAGAAGAAGAAGAAGATGATGATTTCTCTAAGCCAAGTATGGTGGTTGATTTTACAATCAT